CTACCAAAACGCCCGTAACTAAGAAATAAATGCTAATTCGATGATGCCGGCTGGCACACTGATTCACTATGAATGTAGGCCGCACCCCCTAGCGGCAGAAGCTCGTACTACATCCGGTTCGCCCTCTATTGACACAGTCTTGAAACTTTACGATCGCACCTCGTATACAGTATCAAACAAAATTGTGTGTTAAGTTAAAGTCAACAGTAACATTAGATGTGAAATGTGTTTACAAATTTCATTATATCAGCAATTGTATTTGAAAATAATCCAGAAACTCGCTAACTTACAAGTGAACTCACTAATGTCTAATGACACTAAATTAGATATGACAGATGTGCATACATCAAACTATATTAAACAAGTCTTTGACTGACAAAAGACTGTCATTATTCAATTTCGTCACAGTCTGAGGTCATTCCATGCGTAGGAAATTTAATTGAAAATTACCGCTGTCTAGATAAAATAGGCACTTGAGTAATACAACAGCTGTTGGCTGCATTTGAATTTGTATGTTGCCCAGACAACAGGTTTTCAAGTACTGACGCTGTATTCCATTTGGCTCACGACTTTAGGATGTAGCACCAGGAACTGAATAGTTCTGCAGACCCTTGAAATAGAAATTTTGAGAGGGAGGAGAAATGAGGCAGATCGCTGTAAGGAGAGATTCAGGACATTCTCCACGTTTGTGCCCCCACGGTGAATACTACTTGACGCTCGTGGCCGCCATCCATTTTACGAACACCCGCTGACCACTTCGCTTTCCGCTTCTCGAATAAGCAGGATGTCTCTCCTTGTGAAATCATAAGCAGTATTGTTATCCATTCTCTGTAGTGGGCGGTCTTCATAAAACTACTCAGAAATTCATTGAGCTGTTTCATTCTTAGATTCGTAAGAGGTACTTGAAATTCGTGTTAGCTCTACTCTCTTAATTGATAGAATAACGTTCTTTTATAAAACCAGAATAAACCAAGGGATATATAATTTTTGGGAAATGTTATTTGTGAATAATTTATGTGTGGAAGCTGGACAGCTGATATGCTCATAAGTGCATTTGTAAAACTTTTAACTTCATGCATTGTACAATTCTTACATATTTCATTATCCTTCATAAAATAATGTCTTGTACCTAACAATACCGAGGCCATGGGCTGTAGCACCAGCGGATGGATGGATAGATATATGTATACAACAATAAATGTCTGAGCATTAGTCGATGTCATTAAGTACTAATTTCCCAAGAAACAAACTTTGACATGCAAAGTAACATCATTTAGACTGTAGGAATATTTTTTAAATGTAGTCTTTAAAATTCCTTTTAATTATCTTCATGTACGAAACCAAATATCCTATTCATACACACATTCAATTTCCAGTTTTTTCTCCTTCCATCGTAAAAATGTAAGCGTCGGTACTGGAAATACATTTATAATGAAACCGAAGACATGGTGAGATTCTCGCCTTGCATTTTACAGTCTACCACATTCTTTATGTGGAATCCCTGCCTTTCTATCACATATTCCCACATCTCTTCCTTATTATTTTTTTTTTGGGCGTGGGGATGTGAGAGATATTACTGTAACAGCCTCTGTCCAATTTCCCAAAACGGGCAGTGAAAGAACACTTTCCAGATTATTAAAACATAAAAAATTCAATTTTATTCTCATGGCAGTCATAAAAAGATTAATTTATTGTATTGCGTCTCTCGCTGAAGCTGTGTTTTAATTATTTTTGCACTCCCCTATATTATCTATTAATTAGCGTACGACTCTCCGTCCAGAGAAATGGCAGGGTGGAAGAAGGATTAGACATTTGTAAGAGGCGGGGCGAAATATTTAATTCTTTCACAGTCTTAACACTTTTATCTGCGAAATGAAAATATCAAGAAGACTGTTATATCTTAACCTGGTGAGATTTTAGGTTCTCACGGCGGCGAACGCCAAAATAACTTGTCTTCTGGGATGTTGCGTCGTGCAGGACGGTTTCAATTGACCGACGCTTCGGAGGCGCTTATTGCATCCATCACCAGAGCGCAAAATCCAAGAAAGTCATTTTCACAGCTGGCCATACTCGAACATAGTCGCGAATTCAACAAAAATCACCCACCGTAATTATCATGCATTTCACTGTTCCAAAAGTAGCTAAATCCACGGAGCAGAATTATTTGTGAGCAGCTAACATTCGCTCAAACATCCGAATTCCCAACGTTAAGGTTAATTATCGTGTTTACTAAAGCCAGCCACTGGATTCTGTCTTGAGCCAGACGAATCCAATCCACATGATAATCTATTTATTTAAGAAACATTTTAATATTACCTTCAACCCTACACTTATATCCACCCCAAATGGTTTCCTCCGAACAGGTTATCTTATCAAAATCCATTTCTCATCTCCCCTTCCATGCTACCTGCCTTCCCATAGCATCTTCCTAATAATACTTTCTTTAGGATATATATACTACGAGATTTTCTCTGTAGAGATGTTACGCCTTCATTTCAAGACCAATGTTTTCTTTCTGTATTTATTAATGTCCGAGATAACTTATTGGTGGTAAAATAAATCAAAACGCAATCTGTTTCACACAGACGTTTTATTTTTGTGGCATGATTCCTGATGAAGTACAACCTTACGTTCCGAAACACTTTATTAATAGGCGATAATTTTTTTGTTCCTACCCATGTGAAGTAAAGAAGATTCTCCCCTTGCCGCGTCAGCTACCGTGACTGACGAACATTGAATTGTACGTGTCTTCCAACAGATAGCAGCAGTACTCCAACTTTGCAAACCCATCCGCCCGATTACGAGTTCAATAATGCGGATAGACGGACATGATCATTTCATACACAACGGAGAAAGACAGAATTAAAATTTAAAAAATGAGGACCTTCATTACCTGTCCTCTCAGCCATATATATATATATTCATAAAACTACAGTTCGGCAGAAATAAGCATGACAAATGAATTTGAAATTACCATAAATTTAAATGGGTTGACATCAGCGTAACCTTGTAATTAATTTGACTTAACGTAATACAACTTAAACGAAATTAACACAAACCAACTAAAATCTTACCTTATCCATCATAACATAACCGAACGCGACATAAACCTAACCAAACATAATACAAATTAACCTAAACCAAACCAACCAAATCCCACCTAACTCAACCGAACCCTTCCCAACCTCACGTAACCTAACCCTTAGACTGATACTGCCCGTGATCTTGGCCTATGCGTGACCTCAACTTGACATGAATGTTGTCATTCAGATTCCTATGTAGCATTTGGTTTTGATATCGGGACTTATCGAGGATAGTGTCAATTGAAGTTTGAGCAGGAAACTCACAACCCCCCCCACTTGCATCAATGATGCAACGTCGAATTTCACATCACTTTAAATCATGCAACTTTCTGAGATTTTCTTAGTTTAATATCCAGCACCAGACATGCGTGAACTAGACTTAGTAGATGGATGTGAACTGTGCGACTGGACACCTTCAGGGAATTCAGCGGGATTTCTGCCTCTCCTCGGATGTGTGGAAATTCTGTTGGCTAGGAAAACGCCGTTAAACATTCATATCGCGAATTATTCTCTTCATTTATAAATGGAAGTAGCAGGTGCAATGTGTTAGCGGTAGAAGTGAAATTTCGACAAAGAGGGGTCTTGGTCCCTAAAGCCACGTCTAGTACAGAATACACGCGGTCATTTCTCGCGACAAATTCGTTACTAAGATTTCCCTAGAATAAGGTACGCAACATTACATACCAACAACTACGCGGATTATTTCTTTAGAAATTAAAAGTACTTTCGGCTAGACAAATAATTCCCGGAATTTATTGAAGGCGAAGGTTCATTATCGTGTTTAAAGAACCACCCACTAGCCCCTATACCTCGCCGGATTAATCCAATCGAGAACCCTAAAACTTATTTTTCCATGATAAATTTTAATATTTTCCTCAAATTTACGCCTATTAACTGAATGTAGTTTTTCCCATCAGGCTTTAAAACCAAAATTTAGTACTCATATGTTATCTCACCCACGAGTGCTACATGCTCAAGTCATCCCTTCCTCCCTGATTTCATTACCCTAATAATTTTTGATAGATTTCCTTATTATGCAATTTTGTCCAGTCTACCGCAATTTCACTCCTCTTTGGTCCACATATTTTTTTAAGCACACTGTACATATCGGCATTAATGGAATAAAAAAAAACTTTTTATGCCATCATCTAAAGAAACCCATCTCAGCGTCTGTCCATCAACACAGAAATATCGAAAAATACAAACTAAACCTTGCTAAACCCATCATAAACTGCATGTGATATTTCCTCCGCAATTAGGTTTTGTACAACTTTGCTGTTAACTCCTGTTCAAGCAGTAATGCCCGATATGTTCCGGTTGTAAAATGGTAGTGTGATGGTTTGCACTACTATCTTAGTATCGCTAGATAAAGATGTTATGCTTATCGATATTAGAACAGAACATCGCTTGACCTAATATTTTAATATTGTCCGTCAAATCACAATTTTTAATAAGATAATAAAATATTTAAAATATCATTTCACGTTCCGTATCGAATGATCGATTTACAAATTGGAACGTTTTTACGTTTTTAGAACGTTTTTACGTTCTAAAAAACGTAAAAAACGTTCCAATTTGTAAATCGATCATTCGATACGGAACGTGAAATGATATTTTAAATATTTTATATTTTATTATCTTATTAAAAATTGTGATTTGACGGACAATATTAAAATATTAACCTAATTCACAATATGACGCAAATATACTACCTTATCGCTTGACCTATATACGAAGTTACTCTTTATGTCAGACAGATCTCTGCAAACGTTGCGATGCACTTGATTTCTGAAACACCTGGTTCATAATTGAAAAATGCTATAAACAGTTTTATATCTCCGCCATGCTCCCATAAAGCCTGTGGCAGTAGTAATGAATTAATAACAATATTGCTGCTCTGTTCCGCAAGCAGAGAAAGGATTCAAGACGTAACCCTGGCTAGAAACCTAGTGAATTTCCAGAAAGTTTTAGCAAGCAGAAATATCCTTATTACGAACCGGGATGCGGGAATTTTCATTTACTAAAACACCCAAGATTGTATTTAAACTACCTCAAAGTGAACAACTTCGTTATTAGAAAAGAAGACAATTTTTATCTCTGAGTTTTAAACGACGATGTCAGTAACTCAGATAATATAACGTTGCTTGGTGGGGTAGAAAAGTGCTGAGTTTCCTTTGCGGTAGGAACTGAACTTATAAATTAAATTCAGGCGAATTTCGGGCTTCGAAGGTTTAAGCCGCTTAATATATTATTTTACGTACACAGTGGCAACTGATTCTTTGGTATTGATCGACGTTCAGTTGATGTGTGGTGGTCTGCCATCTAGGGAGCGGTATTTAAAACATCCGTATTCGCGATTCCGTCTACTCTCCCATCTGGTGGATTCTCGCTGTTCTAAAGCCAACGTTAATCAATATAGCAATTAACATTTACCATGGATACAGAAATAAATATTACCTACCAAACAGGTCTATCCAAAACTATCCTCCTTCTTAGAGCTATGAAGTTGCACAGCAAACTGAGAAAGTTAGTTCTTAGCAATTTAATAATACGAATAATTTAATAACTTGTGGTTTCTCTCATTGAAAGCAGAACCTTCCGACATCCTTGTTTTAAAGTTACGCAGTTGATATAACCACATTAAATAACAAAATAATTGCAATATAGAATCCACATTTTTATCTACTTCCGGTAAGATTACTGAGATCAAAATAGAAAAAGGCTTTTTGCATAATTCACTTCAAATCTATGAATAGTTTTGGTAAAATTCCAGGCTATATTACAATAGTTACAACAACAATATTTATGAATGATAAAATAATAACATTTTCCGCAACTGAAACTTTGGAATTTTGTACGGATTGGATCCGTGATTACCCCCTCTGCGCCTAGGTTCACCCATACAAAATCCGATTTTTAAAAATCATATTATTTGGAGTTAAGCCACTTGGAAACCCTTTATCGTCAATAATCATTTCATTGCTTCATAGGTTTATGTCTCCATTAAATGCAATTATACGGAATACCTACAAAATATATGGAGCAATCTGCCCTGTGATGTCACTGTTCGTCCAACCTCAACGCTTTTACAATATAATAAGCTCATTTGGATGATGGATCTCTCATTAT